GGAGCTCTGAGGTCTCCCTGGAGCTTCTCTTCTCCAGGTGAACACCCCCAGCTCTCCCAGCCTGGCTCCATGGCAGAGCTGCTCCAGCCCTCAGAGCATTTTGGTGTCCTCCATGTCCTTCTCTTGTGAACAGTGTCACTTAAGAGCTGTCTGTAAGCTGCTGGGTCTGTGTCCTCTGGCAGACACTGTAGGGTTTTAGCTGTTTCTCACTGCATTCTGAGTTAATGGTCAGTATGCAGCTCATTCTCACCTTGCTGGCCTGCAGGTTTGTTTGGCCAAACCTCATCCAGCCCATCAGAGATCCTGGGATGGGCTGGAGAAATCCAGGCTGTCACTGGTGTTGCATGGTCAGGTTTCAGCATTTTGCTTACGGACAGCAGCATTTCCCATTCCAGCACATCTCCATCCGTGTTTCACACACTTGGATGGACAATGTCAGGAATATACATTCCTAAGGGCAAGTTCAAACTTTGTACAACTGATCTGAAGACAAAATTCCCCTCAGTGTTAAGTCTGAGACCCAGAAAGTGTTGAGTGTGTGTCTCCGTGGCTGCTTGGAGGGACCTTCTGGGGCATCTGGTGGTGGTGATGAGACAGGTGGGTTGTGCCATCACGTGTTGCACTTCCACACTCTTGGAAGCCCTGGCACGCTCCTCAGGAATGGTGCAGCAGAGCACACAAGTGCCTGGTGGATCTGGCACGCTGGTGTGACGTGTGCTCTGTTCTCCGCAGGGACACAGCGGGGCAGGAGCGATTCCACACCATCACCACCTCCTACTACAGAGGAGCCATGGGCATCATGCTAGTATACGACATCACCAATGCCAAGAGCTTTGAAAACATCAGCAAGTGGCTCAGAAACATAGATGAGGTGAGTGAAGTGGGTAAGATCCCTTAGCTGAGCTGTTTGTCGTCACCGCAGAGCAGGTGAGCAGTGCCCAGAGCTCAGCTCCTGCCCCAGCCCTGCCAGAAGGGCAGCACTAACCTTGGGCTCTGGGTCTTCAGGTGTGCCGTGTCCCCTCAGCCCTCAGCAGTGGCACCACACAGGAGCCAGTGGTGTCCTCGAGCACCCAGTCTGCCCACGAGCAGACCCTGTGTCCGTGCTGGGAGCACTGGGGGTGAGGAGCACTGCTGGGAGTGCAGCTGCCCCACACAGCGTGTGCCGAGGGCAGCACTGAGCCAGGAGCTGCAGAGAGCCACAGGATGTGTTCCTGCTCACAGTAACCCATTGCCCAAGTGAGACTGCCTGAGTCCTCAGAGATAATGAAACAGCACAACCTCCACTCCTCAGAACTGGTGTCACAGGGGCCCAGAATCACTGAGGCTGGAAAAGAGATCATCAGGCCCAACCTGTGACCTAACACCATCTTGCCATCTAGACCATGGCACTAAGTGCCACCTCCAGTTGTTCCTTGCACACCTCCAGGGGTGGTGACTCCACCACCTCCCTGGGCAGCGCAGCACATTGCCTGGCAGCCCTTTCCGTGGAGAAATTCCTCCTGATGTCATGAAATACGTGGAAGTTTACCATGGCTGTTGCAGATACCATAGCACCTGCTGCTGGGAATGTTTGTGTAGCTGATTGTGCCCTTGGCAGAGGAGAACCAGGATAGGGAGGCTGGAAAATTTCAAACAGGGTCAAGTGAAGCAGAAGAAACTCAAGTGGAAGCATTAAGTGCTTGAATCCCCCAGAGTTCATCCTCCAGGAGTTCTGAGATGTTAGGAGAGCAGCACAGCTGTTAGTTCTTGCTTTTGTGATGCTGTTCCCAAATGGAATAGATGTTTGGGTTTCCAGCTGTGTTATTTTCCTGGAAAGCTTGGAGCTGGCCCTGCAGGATGGAGCGCAGCAGATGAGGTGTGTTGGGCACTGCTCAGCCAGGCACTGAGGCTGGGAAGGAGCTCAGCAGGCTGGGGTGGTGGGACTTGAGTTTCCTAGCATGAAAAGTGGGAATTGATCCTGTTCATGAACAGGCACAGTGTGGGGGGACAGAAAGGAAGAGGGAAGTAAGACAGCACAGGAACAGACTCAGCAAGGAGCTGAATCCAAAGAAGTTGAATCTGGATGTGGCCCCATTCCTCACCTCTCTCTGGGCCCAGCCTCAGCCAGGTCCAAGTATCTCCAGGAGAATTCTGTGGGAAATGGTGCAAAGGCTGTAAAGTCCAGGCAGACACATCCACAATCTTTCCTTTGTCCACCAGGTGGGTCACCCTGTCACAGAGGGAGATCGGGTTGGTCTGGCAGGACCTGCCTGTCACAGCCCCACGCTGGGTGGGCCTGATGCCCTGGCTGTGCTGCACATGCCACATGGTGCACTCAGGGTGATCTGCTCCATGCCCTTTCCTGGCACTGAGGTCAGGCTGACTGCCAGGGAGTTCCCTGGATCCTCCCTCCAGCCCTTCCTGGAGATGAGCATTGCATTGGCACCTCCAGTGGGATGGGACCTCCCCAGTGGGCCAGGACTGATGATGGGAGGTTCATGTTCCCCTCCAGAGAGGACCATGCTGGAGGAGATGTACTGGGTCTGGAGTCCCTCAGCCCTGCCCGGGCTGACTGCATCCTCCTGTCCTGACACCAAGAGGGAACACCAACCCCTCACCTCCCTGTGTCCCTTTCCCATCTCCTGCTCTGCTCTCCCGCTCTGCAGACCTGTTTCCTTCTCTCCCACATGTCTCTCCCTGGGTCCAGTTTTCCTCCCCAGTCCCTCTTTCTCCCCTGGCTCATCCTCCTCATTGCGCAGCAGCAAAGTGGAGAGCAGAAAGCAGTTCACCACCTCTAGGAAGTAAGTATGAGGTTGGATGTTAATTACAGCTTGTTCCTGCAGCTCTCCAGTGCATGAAGCTCAGTTGTTGGCAGCTGTAGGTGTCACCAGGCTCAGACTAACGAGGGTTTGGTAGGGGCTGGGGTCATCAGCAGGGACTTCACACCCAACCTACAGGAATGAAGAGGAGTGGGGCGATCCTTGGCACTGGGATGATGATGGAGCTGTGTCTAGCTTTGGCCGTGGTCTGACCACATTTCCAGGCTATAGGAGTAGTTCAGCCTGAAGGCAGTGCCTGGAAAACAGCATCAGGCACTGTTAGGGCTCTGAGTGCAGGACACAGGGACCTGTGGGTGTTCTCCTGGGCTGGAGACAGCCTGGGCACACCGAAGTGAGGCAGGTCCTCCTGCTGAGGAGGTGTGTAACCCTGTGCTCTGTCCCTCCAGCATGCCAACGAGGATGTGGAGAGGATGCTGTTAGGAAACAAGTGTGACATGGAAGATAAAAGAGTTGTCCCTAAAGCAAAAGGTGAACAGGTAAGTGTTGGGTAAAAACTTATCCAGGTCAGCAAATCACTGCTGGGAGTCCCTGCCAGCCCCAGGTGGTCGGGATGCCCCAGTGGGATGTGCCAGGGAGTGATGGTAAAAGTCCTGGGGGTGTGTTCTCGAGAGCTGCAGTGAATGGGAGGAGTTCAGCTGCAGTTGCTGCTCCAGTTGATACCCACAGATTCCCAGGCATCCCTCACTGTGTGGCAGCCTGTGGTGTCTGTGCTCCTGCACCAGGCACTTGCTCCTGATTACTTAGGACATTTTAATTGCTGGTTCTGAATCTTCTTCTGAGCCAGAACTGCCCCAGGGCTGGAGGTGCCTCAGCAGTGCCAGCACAGAGACCTGGGGCTGGTACAAAGCAGGTGCACTGCCCACCTGGGCACACCTGGGCCTGTGTCCATGTTCCATGTTACCTGCTGTACCTGTGCTGCTGATCCCAGCCGGGTGGCAGCACCGCTGGGGTACCCCATGGCTCACTAACCTCCTTCTCTCTCTCTGCCCAGATTGCCAGGGAACATGGTATTAGGTTTTTCGAAACTAGTGCAAAAGCAAATATAAACATTGAGAAGGCATTCCTCACATTAGCAGAAGACATTCTTCGAAAGGTAGGTGCTCCCAGTATTTCACACCCTGAAATCCCACCCCACTGCTCCTGGGGCTCCCTGAGCTGCTGCAGCTTTGACTCTGGGGTGCTGAGTGCCCCGAGGAGCTGTGTGGTACAGCTGAAGTGTCCAGAGCCTGTCTGGTGTTTTGTTAGTGTGGGGATGATTCCTGCAGGGAGTACTGTACATCAGAGCCAGGGAACTGCAGTTCCTGGCTGGTGATCCCTGGAAAGTTGTGGTTGTTGTACGTGTGCTCGGAGTTAAAGCAGTTTTGGTGTGGAGAGGATTGTCCTTCCCCTGCCACAGCCTCTGTGCGTGCACAACGGGGCTGTTGGAAGAGTTCAGAGTGGTGGATGGAGCAGGGGAAGGAGCTCTGTCACTCCCAGCCCTGTCCCCAGGGACCAGCTCCAGCATTTCCTTGGAGGTTTGATTGGATGGATCCATTGCACCAGTTCATCTGGTGGTTAGATCCTCTTCCTGAGATGTACAATGTGCCACAGAGCCATGGAACCAGTGAGGCTGGAAAAGGCCTCTGAGACCACCAAGTCCAACTTCCCCCAGCACTGTTGAGGCCACCACTGAC